CTATAATTTTAATGGTAGGTTTATTTGAACAGTGAGAGACAGAATAACAACAACAAAATCAAGAAAAACGCATGTCAAAAATGTTATAAATTGATTTGCATTTTAATGGAGGGAAATAAGTATTTGACCCCCTCTCAATCAGAAAGATTTCTGGCTCCCAGGTGTCTTTTATACAAGTAACGAGCTGAGATTAGGCGCACACTCTTAAAGGGAGTGCTCCTAATCTCAGCTTGTTACCTGTATAAAAGACACCTGTGCACAGAAGCAATCAATCAATCAGATTCCAAACTCTCCACCATGGCCAAGACCAAGGAGCTCTCCAAGGATGTCAGGGACAAGATTGTAGACCTACACAAGGCTGGAATGGGCTACAAGACCATCGCCAAGCAGCTTGGTGAGAAGGTGACAACAGTTGGTGCGATTATTCACAAATGGAAGAAACACAAAATAACTGTCAATCTCCCTCGGCCTGGGGCTCCATGCAAGATCTCACCTCGTGAAGTTGCAATGATCATGAGAACGGTGAGGAATCAGCCCAGAACTACACGGGAGGATCTTGTCAATGATTTAAAGGCAGCTGGGACCATAGTCACCAAGAAAACAATTGGTAACACACTACGCCGCGAAGGACTGAAATACTGCAGCGCCCGCAAGGTCCCCCTGCTCAAGAAAGCACATATACAGGGCCGTCTGAAGTTTGCCAATGAACATCTGAATGATTCAGAGGAGAACTGGGTGAAAGTGCTCTTTGTCATCAACTCACCGTGTTTGGAGGAGGAGGAATGCTGCCTATGACCCCAAGAACACCCTCCCCACCATCAAACATGGAGGTGGAAACATTATGCTTTGGGGGTGTTTTTCTGCTAAGGGGACAGGACAACGGGACGATGGACAGGGCCATGTACCGTCAAATCTTGGGTGAGAACCTCCTTCCCTCAGCCAGGGCATTGAAAATGGGTTGTGGATGGGTATTCCAGCATGACAATGACCCAAAACACACGGCCAAGGCAACAAAGGAGTGGCACAAGAAGAAGCACATTAAGGTCCTGGAGTGGCCTAGCCAGTCTCCAGACCTTAATCCCATAGAAAATCTGTGGAGGGATCTGAAGGTTCGAGTTGCCAAACGTCAGCCTCGAAACCTTAATGACTTGGAGAAGATCTGCAAAGAGGAGTGGGACAAAATCCCTCCTGAGATGTGTGCAAACCTGGTGGCCAACTACAAGAAACGTCTGACCTCTGTGATTGAAGGGTTTTGCCACCAAGTACTAAGTAATGTTTTGCAGAGGGGTCAAATACTTATTTCCCTCATTAAAACGCAAATCAATTTATAACATTTTTGACATGCGTTTTTCTGGATTTTTGTTGTTGTTATTCTGTCTCTCACTGTTCAAATAAACCTACCATTAAAATTATAGACTGATCATGTCTTTGTCAGTGGGCAAACGTACAAAATCAGCAGGGATCAAATACTTTTTTCCCCTCACTGTACACTTAGGTTGGAGTCATTAAAACTAGTTTTTCAACCACTCCACAAATGTCTTGTTAACAAACTATAGTTTTGGCAAGTCGGTTAGGACATCTACTTTGAGCATGACACAAGTAATTTTTCCAACAATTGTTTACGGACAGATTATTTCACGTATAATTCACTGTCTCACAATTCCAGTGGGTCAGAAGTTTACATACACTAAGTTGACTGTGCCTTTAAACAGCTTGGAAAATTCCATAAAATGATGTAATGGCTTTAGAAGCTTCTGATAGGCTAATTGACATAATTTGAGTCAATTGGAGGGGTACCTGTGGATGTATTTCAAGGCCTACCTTCAAACTCAGTGCCTCTTTGCTTGACATCATGGGAAAATCAAAAGAAATCAGCAAAGACCTCAGAAAAAAAATTGTAGACCTCCACAAGTCTGGTTCATCCTTGGGAGCAATTTCCAAACGCCTGAAGGTACCACGTTCATCTGTACAAACAACAGTACGCAAGTATAAACACCATGGGACCACGCAGCCATCATACCGCCTAGAGATGAACGTACTTTGGTGCGAAAAGTGCAAATCAATACCAGAACAACAGCAAAGGACCTTGTGAAGATGCTGGAGGAAACAGGTACAAAAGTATCTATATCCACAGTAAAACGAGACCTATATCGACATAACCTGAAAGGCTGCTTAGCAAGGAAGACGGCCACTGCTTCCAAAGCCGCCATAAAAAAGCCAGACTACGGTTTGCAACTGCACATGGGGACAAAGATCGTACTTTTTGGAGAAATGTCCTCCGGTCTGATGAAACAAAAATAGAACTGTTTGGCCGTAATGACCATCGTTATGTTTGGAGGAAAAAGGGGGGTTGGCTTGCAAGCCGAAGAACACCATCCCAACCGTGAAGCACGGGGGTGGCAGCATCATGCTGTGGGGGGTGCTTTGCTGCAGGAGGGACTGGTGCACTTCACAAAATAGATGGCATCATGAGGAAGGAAAATTATGTGGATATATTGAAGCAACATCTCAAGACATCAGTCCGGAAATTAAAGCTTGGTCGCAAATGGGTCTTCCAAATGGACAATGACCCCAAGCATACTTCCAAAGTTGTGGCAAAATGGCTTAAGGACAACAAAGTCAAGGTATTGGAGTGGCCATCACAAAGCCCTGACCTCAATCCTATAGAACATTTGTGGGCAGAACTGAAAAAGCGTGTGCAAGCATGGAGGCCTACAAATCTGACTCAGTTACACCAGCTCTGTCAGGAGGAATTGGCCAAAATTCACCCAACTTATTGTGGGAAGCTTGTGGAAGGCTACCTGAAACGTTTGACCCAAGTTAAACAATTTAAAGGCAATGCTACCAAATACTAGAGTGTATGTAAACTTCTGACCCACTGGGAATGTGATGAAATAAATAAAAGCTGAAATAAATCATTCTCTCTACTATTATTCTGACATTTCACATTCTTAAAATAAAGTGGTGATCCTAACTGACCTAAGACAGGGCATTTTTACTAGGATTAAATGTCAGGAATTGTGAAAAACTGAGTTTAAATGTATTTGGCTAAGGTGTATGTAAACTTCCAACTTCAACTGTACATGTAGGTAGAATTATTAAAGTGATTGGCCGGTGCACCTGCACATTGGATGTTCTGGTTTGAAGGTGCTGAGTTGATTTAGGCCTATGTACCCTAGGATAACATAAATCTAGCAATTACATAACCTAGCGGACTAAACTCCACGGTGATGGAGTCCACCAGAAACGTCTTTCTCCATGGAGTGGCGTTAGTCCGCTAGCAATTACATAGACTATTTAAATTATTCACGTGATATAGACATATAGGGCAAATTATTCAGCTTGTAAACTGCAGCAGCTTTTCCATAATAAACTTTTCCACTGAATTCTCCAGGACTAACTCCTCCCTAGAAGGCCAAATTCCCACGCAGGCAGTCACTAGTACTCTCCAAGAGGGGAGGGGACAGAGACAGGCATTGAGTGAAGTGGTCGGACAGTGCACGGTCATAGAAAGCCATCCAGCTAGCGGGTACTGTAGCTACGGAAGCGCTAGTTAGCACACATTTTCGTCAGCGGTCGGCGCACCAACTCAGCGAGCAACCACTAGTCTCTCTCTGTTGCGTACAATATCTGGAAGACCGAGGACGAGAGTTCATTCCGCTACAGTCATCAATGGCTCTGTGCAACGGAGATACCAAGGTCAGTCAAACAACGGCCTATGTTCCGCCAAGGAAGCAACATATCCCGTTTCTCGTTCAGTGTATATCGGCTGTCTGTCGGTGGTTGTCGGCTGCGTGACATGGGCGCTGGGAGAGTCCCCGGTTAGCTACGGCCTATGTCGTGTTTCCAGCAAACTTGCGCTGGTGCATGCTCCCCCGCCGGGGATGAATGGCTTCATGCCTGTTGCCTCGTCTTTTAAATGTATGTTTTGGAGGGTTTTATAAACATCCAGCAGATGGTGAATGTAACCTTTATGCCACTGTTGTATTTTTCATGGTGTAGACATTGCTAATTGAAGCCGCGTGTAATTTAGCCTAGCTAGCTGCAGCCACACGGTAGCCGCACAGCTGAATATCGACTACAGTAGTTAGCTAGCTAACGTTAGCAATAGCCCGATATATAGTTAGCTCACTAGCATAATAGCTAGCAGTGTAGCTACAGATTGTCGTGGACTTTATATAATATTTAAACTTTGTAGCAATAGTACGAGATTTCGTGTTACGAACATGCATCTTTTTTTGGTCATTTAACTAACAGAAACATACATCGGGTTGATGGCTAACTATGACTTGCCAGCTAGCGCCCGGTCTCCAGTCTGTCCACCCACCACACAGTTGTGCCAGCTGCAGCATAGGCCAACCATCGTCTTATTTTTTATATCCATAAGTACTCAATTTTAATTTCCCCAGGAAAGCAGGCCCAGTATAACAACAACACATTCCAGTATCGACGCGGTTTTATATGCAATGTGTTGTTGGCAGTTTTTATGGTGTAACTTGCAGTGTTTGATACGAGCGAATGCCTGTTGTTTTTCATTGACGGAAGTACGGCGTGTCAGAAACCACGTGGGGACACGCTACTCAATTTCACAATTTACTACAAGAGCGGTACATTGAATGTTTTGCCCATATCTAATGCCCCAATGTATTGAACGAGAAATGTACAGTTTTGATAGGAATATTAATCTTGTAACCATAATGATTGTTAAGGCAATCACTATCTCCCTTGATAACACTGTTGACATCAATTAATCAATGGCTACATCAATAATGCAAAAAAAAACGTGTTTCGATATATCTATTCTAGAGTAAGGTCCACTGGCTTGTGCCTCCTGGCTCGAAGCATCTATCCGGTCAATAGAAACCTCAAAAGGCGGGTTAAAGCCTCCAAAAGTTTGGCATCCCCTGCTGGATTTTTCCTCTAGCTGGTCCCTACTCAGGGCCCCTAGCTTCTGTGTGACTCCTGATTCTGATGAGGGAATGAGTGTGTAACGTCTTGTCATGCATGTCCTCTTCTCAGTACTGAGACTCACGTGTCTCAAGTTGTGTTCTGGCCTTAATGAATCCCAGTTCCTCACGGTGAGGTTAGAGGTTGGCAAAGTGGCGGTCATTCACCATTGCAAATGGTTTGTCTGTCGTTGATTGAATTTAAACATTTTGCAACGCTTTTTGAACACCCGCTGGTTCAACCACTGTGTTGGGAAATAGGCTATTGTATCTTCATTCAAAACACCCCATGCTATGCTTGATGCGTGTACATGGTTGAAGGCTATTCCACACGTAGGCCTATGTTGTTATCCTGATTGAGTGTACGTACGTGGTCATGACAGTGTGTGTGGATATGTGTTCCTTCTCCCCCAGCTGGACATCAGCAACGTTGAGCCTCAGAATGGTTCATGTGAGGGGGCGGTGGTCATCCTGGATGCTGGGGCTCAGTACGGCAAGGTGATTGACAGGCGGGTCAGAGAGCTGTTTGTCCGCTCAGAGATCCTCCCACTAGAGACGCCAGCCTTCGCCATCAGAGAACAAGGCTTCAGGTGAGACTGACTGACGTCAAACTTGCACCTGGGTGGCGTTTACAAGTCACCGAATCTGGACCAAATAGTGTGAGAGAGAGAACCTGTCAGAACAATGACACTGTGATTATTCCCAAGATCTCCACTTTATCTGTCCATCGTCTGTGGAGGAACACAGTTGGCAGGACAGCCTGTGAGAGAGCCTGTACTGCCCTACAAAGGCAAAACGCTGTAGCTGTTTTACTGCAAAATATGATTTCAAAGTAATTTTCTGTCTAGACACAGCAATTTCTTATACTCCATGATATATTCTGATCAACTGGCTTGTTCTTGTGTCAGAGAACTAAATACCACATTAATCAGATAATATACCTGGCCATTACAACCGATCAAAGATGTTTGATCAAATTCATAGTTGCTGCGTTTTGCCTTTGTAGGGCAGTGTAGTTCTATAGAAAAGGAACACCGTTGTCAGGACAGCATGAGAGAGAGCCTGGAGTTCTACACAAAAGGAACACCGTTGTCAGGACAGCCTGAGAGAGAGCCTGGAGTTCTATACAAAAGGAACACCGTTGCCAGGACAGCATGAGAGAGAGCCTGGAGTTCTATACAAAAGGAACACCGTTGTCAGGACAGCCTGGGAGAGAGCCTGGAGTTCTATACAAAAGGAACACAAACCAGTGGCTAGACTAAGCAGGTCTTTTGTAAATATGTGAAATATTACTGTACATTTTCTCTTATCTGACCTTGGAGGGAGTGTGTGTTCACACAATTCTACAGCTTAGGAGAGGTCCCCATCTCTCTGCAGAGAGGATAGAGCGAGAGGGCAGGGGGGGCTTTTTAGGAGACATTATTTTTTCCATTACAGCTTGCGAAATCATCACTCCACCCCTACAGAATAGATGCACACGCACACCTTTTTAAGAATGCTTCAGTTTGAACAGCCAATAGAGAATGTCTGCACTGTGAGCACACTAGAGAGAGGCAGGGTTTTCAAACAGCTGTATGCTCATGTGTATGCTATTAGTCTGAAATGACTACTCTGTTGTAAGGTTAAGTTGATTGTTTGTCTCTTTGAATATTTATCCTCCTTCCTTCAACCCTTTTTTTACTTTCATCCCCCATTCTCTCTCCAGAGCGATCATCATCTCTGGTGGTCCTAACTCTGTGTATGCTGAGGATGCCCCTTGGTTTGACCCTGCCATATTCACCATTGGAAAGCCTGTCCTTGGTATCTGCTATGGAATGCAGGTAGGAGGGCCCTGAGAAATGCACATACATGAAACCTTCCTCCAGAAGATCTTAGCATAAAACTCAGGGTTCATGACATCACCACCTAGAGTTCAATAACAGTGTGTCTAGACGGATCAATTGGATACAACCCACTAATAATCCCTTTATGTACACATCACATACAAATGAAAGGAGATCTTTCAATCGATACAAAATGCAGATTTACGAGGCTAATGATCAATTGTCCTGTCCACAGATGATGAATAAAGTTTTTGGAGGCACAGTACACAGGAAGAGTGTGAGGGAGGATGGCGTGTTCAACATCGGACTGGACAACACCTGCTCTCTCTTCAGGTGGGTTGGAAGAACTAATGATTCTTCAGACAGTTTCACCATAACCACTCAGAGAGAAGAGGTGAAGGGATCGAAGAGCCAAAACAAGTGTTTTTGATTGGTTTGTCCCAGAGCCATGCGTGTGACGCAATCTGGATCAAAATTCCAACAGTCACATACTGCCGTTCTCTTTCAAGTGTTAGTTTCGGTATTTCACTTATGGGATATACCGACTCTCGTATTGCCAGACAAGCTTATCCTGACGACCGACTGCCCTGTGCGATATATCGCACAAATGGGCCTAAAGGTAAAACAGTATGCGCCTGGGTCAGTGCAGAGACATCAAGCCTATAAAACTTCACAGATGTATGAGGCGAAGCCCAACTCTCTGCTGAGCAAATATCTTGGATAGATATGCCCTTAAATAAAGCCCAGGACATAGCCATTCCTCTAGTGGAATGAGCCATAGGCCAGCAGGAGACTGAAGACCCATACTTGTGTAGGGCAAAGCAATAGCCCCCACTATCCAGTGGGAGAGTTGTGTTTAGTGAGCGCTTTACCCGTGTAAAGTTTTGCCCAGGAAATGAACAACTGATCACATTTTCTAAACCACTTAATCCTGTCCCATGTAAATGCGCAGAGCACATAGTGGGCACAATGAATGCAACCACAGATGTTCCGGAGAGGAAAACAGTGGGGGATAAAAGCTACCAGCTCAAGGGGAAGACACATCAAATATGGGTGTCCGCTGTCACTATATCTATTCGTTATGGCCATCGAAATGCTAGCTATTAAAATCAGATCAAATAACATTTAAAAAAAAACAATTTAGTCATTTATCAGACGCTCTTATCCAGAGCGACTTACAGTTAGTGAGTGCATACATTTTCATACTGGCCCCCCCCCCCGTGGGAATCGAACCCACAACCCTGGCGTTGCAAACGCCATGCTCTACCAACTGAGCTACACGGGGCCTGAAATCCAAGGCTTAAAAACAAATGTGTCCATGTATGCCGATGACTCAAGTTTTATATTATGTCCGCAAGCTAGATCCCTGCAATGTTTCATTGAACATCTAGATAACTTTTCTGGACTCTCTGGACTAAAACCTAATTATGATAAGTGGACAATATTCCATTACCCTGCAGTTTACCTATAAAATGGGCTGATGGTGAAGTAGACATACTTGGTATTCATATCACAAAATATATAAATGAGCTCTCCACAATGAATTTCAATAGAAAACTAGTAAAAAATAGACAAGATCCTGCAACCATGGAGAGGTAAATACCTGTATTTATGGAAAAATTGCACTGATTAACTCCTTAGTCATATCTCAGTTTACTCACTTATGGCGCTGCCTACTCCTGATTTGATCAAATCATAGGAGAAGAAAAATATTTAGCTTTATCTGGGATGCTAAACCAGACAAGATAAAGCGTGCCTATCTATATAATTGTCTGTTTTTATGTAAGCCACAAAAGTTCTGACTAGAATATGATGACCCTCTAGAAATGGGAGGAACTACTTTTTAATGCTAGGGACACCGCAAGGAGTTCCAGGCTGTTTATGTGAGTAGAATGGAGATGGGGTCCCCACACCCTGTTCACCGTTCTGCCCTCGTGGGTCGCACACCCCCAACCTGACAAGAGTTGTGTCCGTCCTGACTACTTTTCTGCCTAAAACAATGCATATCTGGAGAACCTGTGACCGAAACGTCGGGTGTCTCCAGGAGTGTAGTGCTGCCGTGCAATCTATGGAGATCTGTACACAGTGATGTTTGTGACGTATTGGGCTCAGACCTAGAGAAGAGACCCAGCGTTGACACCCTCTCACATTCAAGCGTCCTAATGGGATTACTACTAAAGCCGATGCCATCAAACCTAGCAGTCTAGGCACGTTTTGAAAGACACCAGGTTCCCTCTGCGAAAACAGTGCTAGGCAATTCTGGAATGTTCTACGTTCCACTGTGAGGCGAGCTTTGAATGATACCAAATCTAGGGTTAGACCTAGGAAAGAGATTGTCTGTGTGGGAATCAGAACGCTCTTTACTGTGTTTATTTTTAAACCTAGAAATGTCAGGTGTTCCAAAAGCAGTTGACTGTGTTCTAAGACATCCTGTCTCGATTAAGCGCATAGCAGCCAATCGTCTATGTACGTCAACAGCCTAATGCCCCTCTCTCTAAGTGGGGCTATGGCTGCCTCGGGACACTTTGTAAAAACCTGAGGTGACAGTGAGAGGCCGACAGGGAGGACCAGAAATACATAGAATTACGCCTTGAAAAGGGAATCTGAGAAATGTCCTGTGAGGAGGGTAAATTGAGATGTGAATGTAAGCGTCCTTCAGGTCAACGGATACGTACCAATCGCCTGGGCGCACAGAACATAGCAGAGCAGTGCGTCAACATTCTGAACGTGTACTCTTTCTCATGTGCCTGTTCAAAGCACATAGATCTAGGATCAGGCTATTACCGCAGTAAAAACCGCAGTGGCTTTGCTCAGGAGGAACAATTCTTATTTCCTCCCGGAAGACACACGCTGATTCCCCCTGAGCCTTTGGATCGAGGCAGGGTGACAGCGAATTGTAGTCTGTATCCCGTCTATCGTGACCTGTACCCAGTTTGACACTTTGCATGCCCGGCAGTTTTCTCTCTCCGCTCCGAGAGAGGGCTGCCGGGGCTTCACCCCACTGTCGGGGAGAGGGTGTACAACAATCCGCAACGCACTGCACATGCTCGGCTGGCCCGTACCGGGAAAGTGCTTATGTGGCTCCCTCTGATGGCGTTATAGGGAGGCACCCTGTTTGTTTTGATCTTGTGAGAAACAACGTCTGACTGCGCCCTTGGCCTGTAGCCTGGTTGCGCTAGTGGTAACATTTTTAATGTGAACTGACATTGGGGAGTGTTTTGTAGGGGCATTCACCATTGTCTATTTTGCTCTTTGGGCTTTACTCTGTGACCACTGACTTGGGACCGGTACGCCGGAAAGAACACTGAGGTGCCTGGGAACTTGCGCACTGGAACAGGCTCAGGATTGGTGGAGGAAATAGAACGGTGCTTGGGGGAGGCCGTTCTTGCCTCTTTGGCGATGGGGACACCGCTAGGCCATTCGCTTCTTCCTCTTTACCCCCAGGGTGGGGTTAGGGGCCAGCTGGCTCCTTGGTGTCGTGTGGGGGGGGGGGGGATTCTTAGACCAGGGGCCTTTAGGGTCCAAGGTTCTCTGCTGCCCTGGGCTCGCAGCCTGGGGGGCTGGACATCTGGGGATCTTAAATGTTGAGGGGTCGACCTGTTGCAGCCTGAGAGAAATTGCGGCGAGGCACTGGGCTGTGTCTTCCTGGGCAGTGAGAGCTGGAGGGCTTCACACTCCCTCTTCTTCTCCTCGCACCGTTTCTGCATCATCTCGACGGTGGAAAAGGCCTTTAGGATCTCCCAGATCATCCAGGATCTTCAGCTTCTCACTGTCAGACACTGTGGATAGATTGATCCATCGCGCCCTCTCCTGAGATATCTTGAGCCGTCATCGCTCTTCCTTATGCCTGGACGGCGGCTTTAAGCAGACGCAGGTTGAGGTCTGTGGCAATGCAGATCTCGTCCAACACCCCCGGCTCCAGTGTGACCATTATCTCCTCCTGTAGGTCAGCTTGGTATGCCGAGAGCATGGAGGCACCGCTGTGGCGGCCGACCTGTAGACCTTCTCTGTCGCGGAGGACTGGAAGCGCTCGTACTTGGTAAGGTGGGGCCAGTCGAGGTCATGGAGGACTTCTGGCTGGGGTGTAGATGGGAAGCCACCAGGGGTTCGATGGTAGGCATGTCGGCAAGCCCAATCCCTTCCATGTCAACACAGTCTAACACCAACCCACTTTGGACAGGGTTCTTGGAGGATAAAGGTGTACTCCAGGTACTGGTAACCTCCTCCGGGCATTCTGGGAAGACTGGTAGTAATTGCCTTGCCGCCCGTTTGGCTTTGGGTAGCCTCTTACCTTCGCAGCGGGACGTGGTGGTCTCTGTTACTGCATTGGGCCAGGGAATCACCAGTTTATCTACAGCGCGTTTGCACACATACTGCAGGTCCACACCGAGAGCTGGTGGGGATGGCCTGCGTCTCCGGTTTCAGATTCCCCGGCAGGAGGCTTGGTGGCCTGGCCTGAGGGGATGAAGGAGTCTTCGTCTCCGTCCGATGATTTCAAAAGGAGGCTGTCGGAAAACCCCATGGTGTTGTTGCCGTCTCCAGTCAGGAAGCCTGGCAGGGATGCCGCGAGGTCGTTGCTGGATTCCTCCAGCAGTGGGTCAATGGCGTCGAGCTGGTCGCTCCAGGATTCCCCGTGGGGATATCCATTGCCTCTGATGAGCCATTGGGGACGCCATCCCCCATGTTAGGGTCCTGTTGACTCAGGCTAGCTTGGCGTGCCTGCTTGCGACGGAGACTCGGCACAGTGTGGACAGGAGCTGGGGGAGACTAATGCTTCCCTGGCATGTTGCAGCCCAAGGCAAGCGATGCACACCGAGCCGGTGTCCTTGACCGATATCTTGTTTCCACAGGAGCAGATTCGTGCTGGGAGCTTCTCCTCGTTTGGAGTGGGAGATGCTTTTGTTCTTTTGATGCTTGTTTGTTTTGATGCTTTTACTTCCTGTCTGACCTTTTGACCCTGTGTGTGACTTGATGTTGTCAGGGGCCTGAAGAAGGAGGAGCTGGTGCTGTTGACTCATGGCGACAGTGTGGACAAGGTGGCCGATGGCTTCAAGGTGGTGGCTCAGTCAGGGAGCATCATTGCAGGTAAGCATTCTGGGAAAGGATCCTGGGCCTGGAGGATAATTTATATTTGAGACTCATTTAGTCTACCGCCATACTTCCCTGCGTTCAGTCAATTCCACAATATGATCATGAAGCCCATTGGCCCTCCATGCCCTTCTTCCATCCCCTGCCCTTCTTCCATCCCCAACCCTTCTTTCCCCTTGTCTTTGACCACCCACACCTCACCACTGCCCCCCGGTGTTCTCTGACAGGTATTGCCAACGAGCAGAAGAAGCTGTATGGGACCCAGTTTCACCCGGAAGTGGACCTGACAGAGCGGGGCACAGAGATATTACGTAACTTCCTGTTTGAGATCGCCGGCTGCACCTCCAACTTCACTGTCCAGAACCGCCAGCAGTCCTGTATCACAGAGATTCAGGAGAAAGTTGGCAAGTCCAAAGTACTGGTGAGTTATCTATAGTATGGTTAGATGCAGTATGTGGGTGTACAGCATGTGCCCCATAGTATAGAACATAGAGACCCTGGGAGGGGGAGGGCGTAGTAAGTCAATCTGAGTTATTAAACACTCAATTAGACAGTGAAATTAAACTGTGTTCTCTGCTGAAACGATGTGATCGACTCCCTCTGCTCTCAGAAAGTAAGTGTGTGTGTGAGAGAGCGAGAGAGTTTTTCTAGTCCTGGCGTTGTGTTGCTTGACGTGTCTGGTCCAATGTTGTCCCCAGGTTCTGCTGAGTGGCGGGGTAGACTCCACGGTGTGTACGGCCCTGCTGAACAAAGCTCTGAACCAGGAGCAGGTGATCGCGGTGCACATCGACAACGGCTTCATGAGGAAGAGAGAGAGCCAGAGCGTTGAGGAGGCCCTCACCAAACTGGGCATCAACCTCAAAGGTGAGAGGTCAAGCCAAGCTGGGTGTCATCCTCAAAAGGTGAGAGTCCTCAAAAGGTGAGAGGCCAAGCTGGGCATCAACCTCAAAAGGTGAGAGGTCAAGCCAAGCTGGGCGTCATCCTCAAAAGGTGAGAGTCCTCAAAAGGTGAGAGGTCAGGCCAAGCTGGTGTCCTACACCTGTCTAGAATGGACTCATGTAGCATACATGTGCCTGGATGTGTATATAAAAACATTATCACTGACTGAACTATACTTCTCTCTCTCTCTCTCCAGTGGTGAACGCAGCACACACCTTCTATAATGGCACGACGACCCTGCCCATCTCCGACGAGGACCGGACGCCACGGAAACGCATCAGCAAGACCCTCAACATGACCACCAACCCTGAGGAGAAGAGGAAGATTATCGGAGACACCTTCGTCAAGGTACTGTCTGTCTTGCCTGTCTGTTGTCTAAGTTGAAGATGACAAGGGTTAAGTCGAGATATTTCTAATATCCCATAACTCTTTGCAACAATGGACCAGCTATGCTAGTTAGCAACGGCGCTGGTCCCATGAACCTGTTTATTTTTGAAAAGCTTCCACATGGAATCATGACTTGTCCTAAACTTTATCTTAGTCTGTTGTCTGTCTGAGAGTCTGTCTGCGAGTCTCTTTCTGTCTGTCCTTCTCAAAAAAATAGATAAATCAAGACTATTGAATTAACTTCTTGTGTGTGTGATTGGTGTCTGTAGGTGGCCAATGAGGTGATAGGGGAGATGAACCTGAAGCCGGAAGAGGTGTTCCTAGCCCAGGGCACCCTGAGGCCAGACCTCATAGAGAGTGCTTCTCACCTCGCCAGCGGCAAGGCAGAGGTCATCAAAACACACCACAACGACACAGAGCTCATCCGCAAGCTCAGAGACGAGGTACACACACAAACACACTGAGACAAACTTCAAACACAACCTTGAAAGCGCGTATCAGAGCTGTCTGAGCCAGAGGTGGGACCAAGTCACTATTATTCCAGTCACAAGCAAGTCTCAAGTCGAGTCCCATGTTGAGCGGGTCAAGTCCAAGTCGTGCAGTCTAAAAGCAAGTCAAGTAAAAAAAATCTATACAGGCAATGACTTGTTTAACTACAAATCTTTGTCTATTTATTGAGGCTACCAGACGGCCCTTTTCATTATTTAGTCTACAACACATTTTGATGAAGTAATAATGAATCTTGACAATATAGATGGGTGGGTGTTCCACCAGGAACTAATGGACTATAAGTGGGGTGTGTGGGGACCGCATTGAGTGTGACACAAGCTGTATCATGTATGAAATGCAGAGGGTAAAGTAAACATTGGACATCGACAGTAATGTTGTCAGATTCCCTTATTCACCTGCACATTTGCAGACAACAAATTCCAAATGCAAGCTTCATAAGTACATTAGCAATTTCAAGCAATTTTGACATACCAAAAGATGAGTAGGCCTATGCTAGTAATTATTTTATTTTCTAACAAGTCAAGAGTCACAAATTTCATGACTTGAGACAAGTCCAAGTCATGTGACTCGAGTCCACACCTCTGGTCTGAACTGTCTCCTCTCACTCCCTCCAGGGAAAAGTCATTGAGCCGCTGAAGGACTTCCATAAGGATGAGGTACGGGCACTTGGCAGAGAACTGGGACTGCCAGAGGACATCGTCTGTCGACACCCTTTCCCTGGTCAGTACCCCACCGTACACACACACACACACAATAGAATGTTATATGTAGTCATGGAACATTTGGAACCAACATGGAGAATAGCAGAATGTTTTGCAGTATGGCTGTAATGTTAACCCCATCCTCTCCTGTAGGGCCTGGCCTGGCCATCAGAGTGATATGTGCAGATGAGCCCTACATCTGTAAGGACTTTGCTGAGACCAACAATATCCTCAAGATCATCACAGACTTCTCTGCCATGGTCAAAAAGGTCAGAGAGCAGAGCATCACTAGTCTATGACGGGAAAACAGTGCTAATAACAGAGCTCTAGAATGGACTGTTGATGTAATTGACCCCAACTTTCCTTCTTAATGCACCAACATGCTGATAACTAACTCTTTATGTCAGACTAGCTAATAATAAACATAACCTACTGTCCCTCCAGCCCCACACGTTGCTGCAGAGAGTGAGGTCATTTTAACTCTACCCACATGTACATATTACCTCAATTGCCTGGACTAACCTGTGCCACGGCACATTGACTCTGTACCGGTACCCCCCCCCTGTATATAGCCTCGCTACTGTTATTTTATTTTACTGATGCTCTTTAATTATTTTTTATTTTTTACTTAACATTTAATTTTCTTGAAACTGCATTGTTGGTTAAGGGCTTGTAAGTAAGCATTTCACTGTAAGGTCTACACCTGTTGTATTCGGCGCATGTGGCAAATAACATTTGATTTGACTAGCTAATAATAATAAACATAACCTACTGTCCCTCCAGCCCCACACGTTGCTGCAGAGAGTGAAGTCGTGTATATCAGACGAGGAGGAGGAGAAACTCCTGCAGATCACCAGTCTCCATTCACTCAATGCCTTCCTGCTTCCAATCAAGACTGTTGGAGTCCAGGTAACACTTCTTACAGTATACTCACACTAACCACTGCTCGCCACGAGGCTGGTCTCTGTCTATGTGACCTTTGACTTCTATAATAAATACAAATATATATATATATATCTATATATACATGCAGTGCATTCGGAAAGTATTCAGACCCCTTGACATTTTGTTACATTACAGCCTTATTCTAAAATGGATTAAATGAATACAAATCCTCAGCAATCTACACACAATACCCCATAATGACGAAGTGAAAACAGGTCTCTGTTTGCCTCTCTGGTGTAGGCCAGTAGTGTAGTGTACAGTATCTCTCCCTGTTACTCCTTCACCCGGCAGCCATCTCCCAGTTACTCCTTCACCCGGCAGCCATCTCCCAGTTACTCCTTCACCCGGCAGCCATCTCCCAGTTACTCCTTCACGCGGCAGCCATCTCCCAGTTACTCCTTCACCCGGCAGCCATCTCCCAGTTACTCCTTCACCCGGCAGCCACCTCCCCGTTACTCCTTCACCCGGCAGCCATCTCCCCGTTACTCCTTCACCCGGCAGCCATCTCCCCGTTACTCCTTCACCCGGCAGCCATCTCCCCGTTACTCCCTCACCCGGCAGCCATCTCCCCGTTACTCCCTCACCCGGCAGCCATCTCCCCGTTACTCCTTCACCCGGCAGCCATCTCCCCGTTACCCCCTCACCCGGCAGCCATCTCCCCGTTACTCCTTCTCCCGGCAGCCATCTCCCCGTTACTCCATCTCCCCAAATAAATGCCCACCACACCATGACTGACCCACCGCCAAACCGGTCATGCTGGAGGATGTTGCAGGCAGCAGAACGTTCTCCACGGCATCTCCAGACTCTGTCACGTCTGTCACATGTGCTCAGTGTGAACCTGCTTTCATCTGTGAAGAGCACAGGGCGCCAGTGGCGAATTTGCCAATCTTGGTGTTCTCTGGCAAATGCCAAACGTCCTGCACGGTGTTGGGCTGTAAGCACAACCCCCACCTATGGACGTCGGGCCCTCATACCACCCTCATGGAGTCTGTTTCTGACCGTTTGAGCAGACCCATGCACATTTGTGGCCTGCTGGAGGTCATTTTGCAGGGCTCTGGCAGTGCTCCTCCTGCTCCTCCTTGCACAAAGGCGGAGGTAGCGGTCCTGCTGCTGGGTTGTTGCCCTCCTACGGCCTCCCTCCTTACTCCTTCACCCGGCAGCCATCTCCCCGTTACTCCTTCACCCGGCAGCCATCTCCCCGTTACTCCTTCACCCGGCAGCCATCTCCCCGTTACCCCTTCACCCGGCAGCCATCTCCCCGTTACTCCCTCACCCGGCAGCCACCTCCCCGTTACTCCTTCACCCGGCAGCCATCTCCCCGTTACCCCTTCACCCGGCAGCCATCTCCCCGTTACCCCCTCACCCGGCAGCCATCTCCCCGTTACTCCTTCACCCGGCAGCCATCTCCCGTTACCCCTTCACCCGGCAGCCATCTCCCCGTTACCCCCTCACCCGGCAGCCATCTCCCTGTTACTCCTTCACCCGGCAGCCATCTCCCCGTTACTCCTTCTCCCGGCAGCCATCTCCCCGTTACTCCTTCTCCCGGCAGCCATCTCCCCGTTACTCCTTCACCCGGCAGCCATCTCCCTGTTACTCCTTCACCCGGCAGCCATCTCCCTGTTACTCCTTCACCTGGCAGCCATCTCCCTGCTACTCCTTCACCCTCTCACTATAACAGGATGGCACTGCTACAGCCAGTGCTCTCCTCTAATCGCCGATACTGGGTCAGATATATTTGTTAATAATAATAATAATAATAATAATAATAATAATAATATGCCATTTAGCAGACGCTTTTGTCCAAAGCGACTTACAGTCATGCGTGCATATATTTTTTTACGTATGGGTGGTCCCGGGGATCGAACCCACTACCCTGCTAATAGTTAGGATTGGGGAGGGGCAATCTGATCCTAGATCTGTGGTTAGGGGCAATGTCTGTTTGGCTGCTCTCACTAGTCAATGGGTATTTTGGAGATTTACTGCTCCATCCATTCATTTCCTTCAGCCCCAGGCTGTGGCTACACAATGTGTGTTTGTTGACAAGTGCATGGGTAATGGGATGGTGACACAGCTGGCTCCGCCCATTCAGTGGTGTGTGTCTCCTCCTCACTTCCTGCTGAAAGCCACAGAGGGATATATTTACCCCAGAAAGACTAAATGTGTGTCTGTGTGTGTTAAGGGGGGCAGGAGAGCCACAGGAGGGTATAAACAGAGGGGCTTATTATTCTCTGTGGAGTTTGGCTGAGAGTATAGGGAAATGACTAACAGAAAGGCCTCAAATCCCCCAGTCTCTTAATGAAGTCTAAATGGGAAGGATGGACCCCAATAGATCACGTTTTATTGACTAATCATCACAATAATGAAGTGTTGGTCAAGAGAGAACGACTATAGCATACAACAGTGGTCCTAGCCAAAGCTCTAGTGTGTGTTTTCTCTCTCTCTGTGTGTGTGTGTAGGGTGACTGTCGGTCCTATAGCTATGTGTGTGGGGTCACCAGTAAAGAGGCTCCTAACCTGTTCTCTGTTTCTGTGTGTGTAGGGTGACTGTCAGTCCTATAGCTATGTGTGTGGGGTCACCAGTAAAGAGGCTCCTAACCTGTTCTCTGTTTCTGTGTGTGTAGGGTGACTGTCGGTCCTATAGCTATGTGTGTGGGGTCACCAGTAAAGAGGCTCCTAACCTGTTCTCTGTCTCTGTGTGTGTGTAGGGTGACTGTCGGTCCTATAGCTATGTGTGTGGGGTCACCAGTAAAGAGGCTCCTAACCTGTTCTCTGTTTCTGTGTGTGTAGGGTGACTGTCGGTCCTATAGCTATGTGTGTGGGGTCACCAGTAAAGAGCTCCTAACCTGTTCTCTGTCTCTGTGTGTAGGGTGACTGTCGGTCCTATAGCTATGGTGTGTGGGGTCACCAGTAAAGAGGCTCCTAACCTGTTCTCTGTCTCTGTGTGTGTGTAGGGTGACTGTCGGTCCTATAGCTGTGTGTGTGGGGTCACCAGTAAAGAGGCTCCTAACCTGTTCTCTGTCTCTTTCTGTCTCTGTGTGTGTAGGGTGACTGTCGTCCTATAGCTATAGTAGTGTAGTGTTCAGTATCTCTCTCTGTTTGGGCTCTGTGGTCAACTTGCCTGGGTACCCAAACTCCTTGCTCCGTCCAAATTGCCACGCCCACAGATGTTCGTTTTCTTCTCAGCAATGCGTCTGGATCTGAGTACCTCCCTGACTATTTCTAGAACGCAAACACATTCTGACCTTACTGATTGGTCCCAGAAACCGGGGGTTGGGCCAGAGCCAGAACACACATGGGTAAAGCAGCATTTAAAAATGTGTTATTGGCTTGGATACTCTGATTGGTTAGAAATTATCCAATCACTGATGACTTTGTTTTGTACAACACCCCTCATTTTGACATCACCACAAACGACTTCAACGATGGGAGTCTCAGACGAAGTATGTAGGGAACAATTCAGTTTGAGTCAATCAGGCAATTGCTTAACAACGCCTACTATGATACAATGGGGCTATATGTCTGTCTGTCCCACTACATTACCTAGGCTATATGTTCTCTGTCTGTCCCACTACATTACCTGGGCTATATGTCTCTCTGTCCCACTACATTACCTAGGCTATATGTCTCTCTGTCCCACTACATTACCTACGCTATATGTCTCTGTCTGTCCCACTACATTACCTGGGCTATATGTCTCTCTGTCCCACTACATTACCTAGGCTATATGTCTCTGTCTGTCCCACTACATTACCTAGGCTATATGTCTCTCTCTGTCCCACAACATTACCTAGGCTATATGTCTCTCTGTCCCACTACATACCTAGGCTATATCTGTCTACTCCTACTAGGGGGCTATATGTCTCCCTGTCCCACTACTTACCTAGGCTATATGTCTCTCTGTCCCACTACATTACCTAGGCTATATGTCTCTGTCTGTCCCACTACATTACCTAGGCTATATGTCTCTCTGTCCCACTACATTACCTAGGCTATATGTCTCTCTGTCCCACTACATTACCTAGGCTCTGTGGTCAACAACAGCCTCTGACCCAGTGGGCTATATGTCTCTGTCTGTTTTTCCATCGGTTTCTTTCGCGAATCCATACAAGCTTTGTTTGCATTAAAGGAGCAATCCATAGTGTCTACACTGTAGAACAGACAACACACAACAGGACAAACCTCTGTCTCATTCTATCTTTCTCTACTTCCTTTTCTGTCCCTCCTTCTCTGACAGTGTGTGGTGTAGCTAGGCCTAATGTTAGCCAGGACTAGTTTAACACTCCCCGTTACTCCTTCACCCGGCAGCCATCTCCCCGTTACTCCTTCACCCGGCAGCCATCTCCCCGTTACTCCTTCACCCGGCAGCCATCTCCACCCGGCAGCCATCTCCCTGTTACTCCTTCACCCGGCAGCCATCTCCCTGGTACTCCTTCACCCGGCAGCCATCTCCCTGGTACTCCTTCACCCGGCAGCCATCTCCCCGTTACTCCCTCACCCGGCAGCCATCTCCCCGTTACTCCTTCACCCGGCAGCCATCTCCCCGTTACCCCCTCACCCGGCAGCCATCTCCCCGTTACTCCTTCTCCCGGCAGCCATCTCCCCGTTACTCCTTCACCCGGCAGCCATCTCCCCGTTACCCCCTCACCCGGCAGCCATCTCCCCCGTTACTCCTTCTCCCGGCAGCCATCTCCCCGTTACTCCTTCACCCGGCAGCCATCTCCCCGTTACCCCCTCACCCGGCAGCCATCTCCCCGTTACTCCTTCTCCCGGCAGCCATCTCTCCGTTACTCCTTCTCCCGGCAGCCATCTCCCCGTTACTCCATCTCCCCAAATAAATGCCCACCACACCATGACTGACCCACCGCCAAACCGGTCATGCTGGAGGATGTTGCAGAACGTTCTCCACGGCGTCTCCAGACTCTGTCACGTCTGTCACATGTGCTCAGTGTGAACCTGCTTTCATCTGTGAAGAGCACAGGGCGCCAGTGGCGAATTTGCCAATCTTGGTGTTCTCTGGCAAATGCCAAACGTCCTGCACGGTGTTGGGCTGTAAGCACAACCCCCACCTATGGACGTCGGGCCCTCATACCACCCTCATGGAGTCTGTTTCTGACCGTTTGAGCAGACCCATGCACATTTGTGGCCTGCTGGAGCTCATTTTGCAGGGCTCTGGCAGTGCTCCTCCTTGCACAAAGGCGGAGGTAGCGGTCCTGCTGCTGGGTTGTTGCCCTCCTACGGCCTCCCTCCTTACTCCTTCACCCGGCAGCCATCTCCCCGTTACTCCTTCACCCGGCAGCCATCTCCCCGTTACTCCTTCACCCGGCAGCCATCTCCCCGTTACCCCTTCACCCGGCAGCCATCTCCCCGTTACTCCCTCACCCGGCAGCCCACCTCCCCGTTACTCCTTCACCCGTCAGCCATCTCCCCGTTACCCCTTCACCCGGCAGCCATCTCCCCGTTACCCCCTCACCCGGCGCCATCTCCCCGTTACTCCTTCACCCGGCACCATCTCCCCGTTACCCCTTCACCCGGCAGCCCATCTCCCCGTTACCTCCTCACCCGGCAGCCATCTCCCCGTTACTCCTTCTCCCGGCAGCCATCTCCCCGTTACTCCTCTCCCGGCAGCCATCTCCCCGTTACTCCTTCACCCGGCAGCCATCTCCCTGTTACTCCTTCACCCGTAGCCCATCTCCCTGTTACTCCTTCACCTGGCAGCCATCTCCCTGGTACTCCTTCACCCTCTCACTATAACAGGATGGCACTGCTACAGCCAGTTGCTGAGTAGGGAGAACTCTCCTCTAATCGCCGATACTGGGTCAGATATATTTGTTTATAATAAATAATAATAATAATATGCCATTTAGCAGACGCTTTTGTCCAAAGCGACTTACAGTCATGCGTGCATATATTTTTTTACGTATGGGTGGTCCCGGGGATCGAACCCACTACCCTGCTAATAGTTAGGATTGGGGAGGGGCAATCTGATCCTAGATCTGTGGTTAGGGGCAATGTCTGTTTGGCTGCTCTCACTAGTCAATGGGTATTTTGGAGATTTACTGCTCCATCCATTCATTTCCTTCAGCCCCAGGCTGTGGCTACACAATGTGTGTTTGTTGACAAGTGCCTGGGTAATGGGATGGTGACACAGCTGGCTCCGCCCATTCAGTGGTGGGTGTCTCCTCCTCACTTCCTGCTGAAAGCCACAGAGGGATATATTTACCCCAGAAAGACTAAATGTGTGTCTGTGTGTGTTAAGGGGGGCAGGAGAGACACAGGAGGGTATAAACAGAGGGGCTTATTATTCTCTGTGGAGTTTGGCTGAGAGTAGAGGGAAGTGACTAACAGAAAGGCCTCAAATCCCCCAGTCTCTTAATGAAGTCTAAATGGGAAGGATGGACCCCAATAGATCACGTTTTATTGACTAATCATCACAATAATGAAGTGGGGTCAAGGAGAACGACTTACATACAACATGGCCCTACCAAACCATGTTGTGTTTCTCTCTCTCTTGTGTGGTGTAGGTGACTGTCGTCCTATAGCTGTGTGTGTGTGGGTCACCGTAAAAGGCTCCTAACCTTTTTTTGTCCCTGTTGTGTAGGTGACTGCCCGGTCCTATGCTGTGTGTGTGGGGTCACCAGTAAAGGCTCCTACCTGTTCTCTGCTCTTTTGTGTGTAGGGGACTGTCGGTCCTATAGCCTTGTTGGTGGGGGTCACCAGTAAAGGGGGCTCCTAACCTGTTCTCTGTCTCTGTGTGTAGGGTGACTGTCGTCCATTATGTTGGGGGTCCAAAGGCTTAACCGTTCCTGCGTGTTTATTTTTAAGTATGGTGGGTCCCATAGAGCCCTACCTGCTCTGTTGTGTGGGGAGGGCCTATCTATTGTGTGGGCAATAGGCTCCTAACTTTCTGTCTTTTGTGAGGTGCTTCCTATGCTTGTGTTGGTCCCAGTGAGGCTCCAACCTGTTCTCTGTTCTGTGTGGTAGGGTGACTGTCGTCCATTCAATGTGTGTGGGGTCATCTCCTACTTTCTGCTGTGTGAGGACTGTCGTATATATTTTGTCCCAGAAAGACTCAACTGTTTGTCTGTGTGTGTTGTAGGGTGCGTGTATAGCTATTGTGGGGGTCATATAAAGAGCCCTATGTTCTCTTCTGTGGTGTTGGGGTGTAGGTATGCGGTAATAGCTAACCAAAAGGCCTAACCTTCCTGTCTCTGTGTGTTGGGACTGTGGCCTATACAGTTTTCCCCTAAAGCTCCTAATGTTTTTTGTTGGTAGGTGACGTCTTATACAATGGGGTCCCAAAGGCTCTAACCTGTTCTCTGTGTGTGTGTAGGGTGACTGTCGGTCCTTAGCTATGTTGTGGGGTCACCAGTAAAGAGGCTCCTAACCTGTTCTCTCTTTCGTCGTGTGTGTAGGGTGACGTCGGTCCTATAGCTATGTGTGTGGGGTCACCAGTAAAGAGGCTCCTAACCTGTTCTGTCCTTCTGTTCTGTGTTTGGGGACTGTCGTCCTTAGCTGTGTGTGGGGTCACCATAAAGAGGCTCCTAACCTGTTCTCTGTTCTGTGTGGTCAGGGTGCTGTCGGTCCTATAGCTAGGGTGTGTGGGGTCACCAGTAAAGAGGCTCCTAACCTGTTCTCTGTCTCTGTGTGTGTGTAGGGTGACTGTCGGTCCTATAGCTATGTGTGTGGGGTCACCAGTAAAGAGGCTCCTAACCTGTTCTCTGTCTCTGTGTTGTGTAGGGTGACTGTCGGTCCTATAGCTATTGTTGTGGGTCACCAGTAAAGAGGCTCCTAACCTGTTCTCTGTCTCTTTCTGTTTTATGTTGTAGGGTGACTGTGGGTACCTATAGCTATGTGTGGGGGTCACCAGTAAAGAGGCTCCTAACCTGTTCTCTGTCTCTTTCTGTCTCTGTGTGTGTAGGGTGACTGTCGTCCTATAGCTATGGTAGTGTAGTGTTCAGTATCTCTCTCTGTTTGGGCTCTGTGGTCAACTTGCCTGGGTACCCAAACTCCTTGCTCCGTCCAAATGCCACGCCCACAGATGTTCGTTTCTTCTCAGCAATGCGTCTGGATCTGAGTACCTCCCTGACTATTTCTAGAACGCAAACACATTCTGACCTTACTGATTGGTCCCAGAAACCGAGGGGTTGGGCCAGAGCCAGAACACACATGGGTAAAGCAGCATTTAAAAATGTGTTATTGGCTTGGATACTCTGATTGGTTAGAAATTATCCAATCACTGATGACTTTGTTTTGTACAACACCCCTCATTTTGACATCACCACAAACGACTTCAACGATGGGAGTCTCAGACTGAAGTATGTAGGGAACAATTCAGTTTGAGTCATCAGGCAATTGCTTAACAACGCCTACTATGATACAATGGGCTATATGTCTGTCTGTCCCACTACATTACCTAGGCTATATGTCTCTGTCTGTCCCACTACATTACCTAGGCTATATGTCTCTGTCTGTCCCACTACATTACCTAGGCTATATGTCTCTGTCTGTCCCACTACATTACCTACGCTATATGTCTCTGTCTGTCCCACTACATTACCTAGGCTATATGTCTCTGTCTGTCCCACTACATTACCTACGCTATATGTCTCTGTCTGTCCCACTACATTACCTGGGCTATATGTCTCTCTGTCCCACTACATTACCTAGGCTATATGTCTCTCTGTCCCACTACATTACCTAGGCTATATGTCTCTGTCTGTCCCACTACATTACCTGGGCTATATGTCTCTCTGTCCCACTACATTACCTAGGCTATATGTCTCTGTCTGTCCCACTACATTACCTACGCTATATGTTCTCTCTGTCCCACTACATTACCTGGGCTATAGTCTCTGTCTGTCCCACTACATTACCTGGGCTATATGTCTCTCTGTCCCCACTACATTACCTAGGCTATATGTCTCTGTCTGTCCCACTACATTACCTAGGCTATATGTCTCTCTGTCCCACTACATTACCTAGGCTATATGTCTCTGTCTGTCCCACTACATTACCTAGGCTATATGTCTCTCTGTCCCACTACATTACCTAGGCTATATGTCTCTCTGGTCCCACTACATTACCTAGGCTATATGTCTCTCTGTCCCACTACTTACCTAGGCTATATGTCTCTCTGTCCCACTACATTACCTAGGCTATATGTCTCTCTGTCCCCTACATTACCTAGGCTATATTCTCTGTCTGTCCCACTACATTTACCTAGCTATATGTCTCTCTGTCCCACTACATTACCTAGGCTAATATGTCTCTCTGTCCCACTACATTACCTAGGCTCTGTGGTCAACAACAGCCTCTGACCCAGTGGCTATATGTCTCTGTCTGTTTTTTCCATCGGTTTCTTTTCGCGAATCCATACAAGCTTTGTTTGCATTAAAGAGCAGATCCATAGTGTCTACACTGTAGAACAGACAACACCACAACCGACAAACCTCTGTCTCATTCTATCTTTCTCTACTTCCTTTTCTGTCCCTCCTTCTCTGACAGTGTTGTGGTGTAGCTAGCCTAATGTTAGCCAGGACTAGTTAACACTCCCCCGTTACTCCTTCACCCGGCAGCCATCTCCCCGTTACTCCTTCACCCGGCCGCCATCTCCAGTTACTCCTTCACCCGGCAGCCATCTCCCTGTTACTCTTCACCCGGCAGCCATCTCCCTGGTACTCCCTTCACCCGGCAGCCATCTCCCTGGTACTCCTTCACCCGGCAGCCCATCTCCCGTTACTCCCTCACCCGGCAGCCATCTCCCCGTTAATCCTTCACCCGGCAGCCCATCTCCCGTTACCCCCCTCACCCGGCAGCCATCTCCCCGTTACTCCTTCTCCCGGCAGCCATCTCCCCGTTACTCCTTCACCCGGCAGCCATCTCCCCGTTACCCCCTCACCCGGCAGCCATCTCCCACGTTACCTCATTCCTGCCCGGCAGCCATCTCCCCGTTACCCCTTCACCGGCAGCCATCTCCCCGTTACCCCCTCACCCGGCAGCATCTCCCCGTTACTCCTTCTCCCGGCAGCCATCTCTCCGTTACTCCTTCTCCCGGCAGCCATCTCCCCGTTACTCCATCTCCCCAAATAAATGCCCACCACAACCATGACTGACCCACCGCCAAACCGGTCATGCTGGAGGATGTTGCAGAACGTTCTCCACGGCGTCTCCAGACTCTGTCACGTCTGTCACATGTGCTCAGTGTGAACCTGCTTTCATCTGTGAAGAGCACAGGGCGCCAGTGGCGAATTTGCCAATCTTGGTGTTCTCTGGCAAATGCCAAACGTCCTGCACGGTGTTGGGCTGTAAGCACAACCCCCACCTATGGACGTCGGGCCCTCATACCACCCTCATGGAGTCTGTTTCTGACCGTTTGAGCAGACCCATGCACATTTGTGGCCTGCTGGAGCTCATTTTGCAGGGCTCTGGCAGTGCTCCTCCTTGCACAAAGGCGGAGGTAGCGGTCCTGCTGCTGGGTTGTTGCCCTCCTACGGCCTCCCTCCTTACTCCTTCACCCGGCAGCCATCTCCCCGTTACTCCTTCACCCGGCAGCCATCTCCCAGTTACTCCTTCACCCGGCAGCCATCTCCCTGTTACTCCTTCACCCGGCAGCCATCTCCCTGGTACTCCTTCACCCGGCAGCCACCTCCCCGTTACTCCTTCACCCGGCAGCCATCTCCCTGGTACTCCTTCACCCGGCAGCCATCTCCCTGTTACTCCTTCACCCGGCAGCCATCTCCCCGTTACCCCCTCACCCGGCAGCCATCTCCCCGTTACTCCTTCTCCCGGCAGCCATCTCCCCGTTACTCCTTCTCCCGGCAGCCATCTCCCCGTTACTCCTTCACCCGGCAGCCATCTCCCTGTTACTCCTTCACCCGGCAGCCATCTCCCTGGTACTCCTTCTCCCGGCAGCCATCTCCCCGTTACTCCTTCTCCCGGCAGCCATCTCCCCGTTACTCCTTCACCCGGCAGCCATCTCCCTGTTACTCCTTCACCCGGCAGCCATCTCCCTGTTACTCCTTCACCTGGCAGCCATCTCCCTGGTACTCCTTCACCCTCTCACTATAACAGGATGGCACTGCTACAGCCAGTGCTGAGTAGGTAGAACTCTCCTCTAATCGCCGATACTGGGTCAGATATATTTGTTTATAATAATAATAATAATAATATGCCATTTAGCAGACGCTTTTGTCCAAAGCGACTTACAGTCATGCGTGCATATATTTTTTTACGTATGGGTGGTCCCGGGGATCGAACCCACTACCCTGCTAATAGTTAGGATTGGGGAGGGGCAATCTGATCCTAGATCTGTGGTTAGGGGCAATGTCTGTTTGGCTGCTCTCACTAGTCAATGGGTATTTTGGAGATTTACTGCTCCATCCATTCATTTCCTTCAGCCCCAGGCTGTGGCTACACAATGTGTGTTTGTTGACAAGTGCCTGGGTAATGGGATGGTGACACAGCTGGCTCCGCCCATTCAGTGGTGGGTGTCTCCTCCTCACTTCCTGCTGAAAGCCACAGAGGGATATATTTACCCCAGAAAGACTAAATGTGTGTCTGTGTGTGTTAAGGGGGGCAGGAGAGCCACAGGAGGGTATAAACAGAGGGGCTTATTATTCTCTGTGGAGTTTGGCTGAGAGTATAGGGAAATGACTAACAGAAAGGCCTCAAATCCCCCAGTCTCTTAATGAAGTCTAAATGGGAAGGATGGACCCCAATAGATCACGTTTTATTGACTAATCATCACAATAATGAAGTGTTGGTCAAGAGAGAATGACTATAGCATACAACAGTGGTCCTAGCCAAAGCTCTAGTGTGTGTTTTCTCTCTCTCTCTGTGTGTGTGTGTAGGGTGACTGTCGGTCCTATAGCTATGTGTGTGGGGTCACCAGTAAAGAGTTTCCTAACCTGTTCTCTGTCTCTGTGTGTGTAGGGTGACTGTCGGTCCTATAGCTATGTGTGTGGGGTCACCAGTAAAGAGGCTCCTAACCTGTTCTGTCTCTGTGTGTGTAGGGTGACTGTCGGTCCTATAGCTGTGTGTGTGGGGTCACCAGTAAAGAGGCTCCTAACCTGTTCTCTGTCTCTCTGTGTGTGTAGGGTGACTGTCGGTCCTATAGCTATGTGTGGGGGGTCACCAGTAAAGAGGCTCCTAACCTGTTCTGTCTCTGTGTGTGTAGGGTGACTGTCGGTCCTATAGCTATGTGTGTGGGGTCACCAGTAAAGAGGCTCCTAACCTGTTCTGTCTCTGTGTGTGTAGGGTGACTGTCGGTCCTATAGCTGTGTGTGTGGGGTCACCAGTAAAGAGGCTCCTAACCTGTTCTCTGTCTCTTTCTCTCTCTGTGTGTGTAGGGTGACTGTCGGTCCTATAGCTATGTGTGTGGGGTCACCAGTAAAGAGGCTCCTAACCTGTTCTCTGTCTCTTTCTGTCTCTGTGTGTGTAGGGTGACTGTCGTCCTATAGCTATGGTAGTGTAGTGTTCAGTATCTCTCTCTGTTTGGGCTCTGGTCAACTTGCCTGGGTACCCAAACTCCTTGCTCCGTCGAAATGCCACGCCCACAGATGTTCGTTTCTTCTCAGCAATGCGTCTGGATCCGAGTACCTCCCTGACTATTTCTAGAACGCAAACACATTCTGACCTTACTGATTGGTCCCAGAATCCGAGGGGTTGGGCCAGAGCCAGAACACACATGGGTAAAGCAGCATTTAAAAATGTGTTATTGGCTTGGATACTCTGATTGGTTAGAAATTATCCAATCACTGATGACTTTGTTTTGTACAACACCGCTCATTTTGACATCACCACAAACGACTTCAACGATGGGAGTCTCAGACTGAAGTATGTAGGGAACAATTCAGTTTGAGTCATCAGGCAATTGCTTAACAACGCCTACTATGATACAATGGGCTATATGTCTGTCTGTCCCACTACATTACCTAGGCTATATGTCTCTGTCTGTCCCACTACATTACCTAGGCTATATGTCTCTCTGTCCCACTACATTACCTAGGCTATATGTCTCTCTGTCCCCACTACATTACCTAGGCTATATGTCTCTGTCTGTCCCACTACATTACCTAGGCTATATGTCTCTCTGTCCCACTACCTACTAGCTATATGTCTCTCTGTCCCACTACATTACCTAACATGTTCTGTCCCCTACATACCTGGCTTATGTCTCTCTGTCCACTACATTACCTAGGGCTTATGTCTCTCTGTCCCACTACATTACCTAGGTATAGTCTCTCTGTACCACTACATACCTGCTTATTCTCTCTGTCCCCTAATTCCCAGGCTATATGTCTCTGTCTGTCCCACTACATTCCTAGGCTATATGTCGTCTGTCTGTCCACTCATTACATAGGCTATATGTCTCTCTGTCCCACACTTACCTAGGTATATGGCTCGTCTGTCCACTACTTACCTAGGCTAATGTCTCGTCTGTCCACTCATTAACCTAGGCTATATGTCTCTCTGTCCCTACATTACCTAGGCTATATGTCTCTCTGTCCCACTAATTACCGGGTATATGTCTCTCTGTCCCACACATTACCTAGGCTAATGTCTCTCTGTCTCACTACATTCCTAGGGTATATGTCCTGTCGTCCCACTACATTACCTAGGCTATATGTCTCTGTCTGTCCCACTACATTACCTAGGCTATATGTCTCTGTCTGTCCCACTACATTACCTAGGCTATATGTCTCTCTGTCCCACTACATTACCTAGGCTATATGTCTCTCTGTCCCACTACATTACCTAGGCTATATGTCTCTGTCTGTCCCACTACATTACCTAGGCTATATGTCTCTCTGTCCCACTACATTACCTAGGCTATATGTCTCTCTGTCCCACTACATTACCTAGGCTATATGTCTCTCTGTCCCACTACATTACCTAGGCTATATGTCTCTCTGTCCCACTACATTACCTAGGCTATATGTCTCTCTGTCCCACTACATTACTAGGCTATATGTCTCTGTCTGTCCCACTACATTACCTAGGCTATATGTCTCTCTGTCCCACTACATTACCTAGGCGATATGTCTCTCTGTCCCACTACATTACCTAGGCTATATGTCTCTCTGTCCCACTACATTACCTAGGCTATAGTTCTCTCTGTCCCCTACATTACCTAGGCTATATGTCTCTCTGTCCACTACATTACCTAGGCTTATATGGGCTCTGGATACTTTCTGGGATTGGTTCTCTGTCCCACTACATTACCTAGGCTGATGCTTGTCTGTCCCACACATTACCTGGCTATTGTCTGTCTGTCCCACTACATGACCTACTAATGTCTCTCGTCCACAATTATAGGCTATAGGCTCGTCTGTCAGCAATACTAGGCTATTGCTTCGCCCCTACATTACCTGGCTATATGTCTCTGTCTGTCCCACTACATTACCTAGGCTATATGTCTCTCTCTGTCCCACTACATTACCTAGGCTATATGTCTCTGTCTGTCCCACTACATTACCTAGGCTATATGTCTCTCTCTGTCCCACTACATTACCTAGGCTATATGTCTCTCTGTCCCACTACATTACCTAGGCTATATGTTCTCGTCTGTCCCACTACATTACCTAGGCTATATGTCTCTCTGTCCCACTACATTACCTAGGCTATATGTCTCTCTGTCCCACTACATTACCTAGGCTATATGTCTCTGTCTGTCCCACTACATTACCTAGGCTATATGTCTCTGTCTGTCCCACTACATTACCTAGGCTATATGTCTCTGTCTGTCCCACTACATTACCTAGGCTATATGTCTCTCTGTCCCACTACATTACCTAGGCTATATGTCTCTCTGTCCCACTACATTACCTAGGCTATATGTCTCTCTGTCCCACTACATTACCTAGGCTATATGTCTCTCTGTCCCACTACATTACCTAGGCTATATGTCTCTCTGTCCCACTACATTACCTAGGCTATATGTCTCTCTGTCCCACTACATTACCTAGGCTATATGTCTCTCTGTCCCACTACATTACCTAGGCTATATGTCTCTCTGTCCCACTACATTACCTAGGCTATATGTCTCTGTCTGTCCCACTACATTACCTAGGCTATATGTCTCTGTCTGTCCCACTACATTACCTAGGCTATATGGTCAACAACAGCCTCTGACCCAGTGGGCTATATGTCTCTGTCTGTTTTTCCATCGGTTTCTTTCGCGAATCCATACAAGCTTTGTTTGCATTAAAGGAGCAATCCATAGTGTCTACACTGTAGAACAGACAACACAGAACAGTACAAACCTCTGTCTCATTCTATCTTTCTCTACTTCCTTTTCTGTCCCTCCTTCTCTGACAGTGTGTGGTGTAGCTAGGCCTAATGTTAGCCAGGACTAGTTTAACACTCCCCGTTACTCCTTCACCCGGCAGCCATCTCCCAGTTACTCCTTCACCCGGCAGCCATCTCCCCGTTACCCCCTCACCCGGCAGCCATCTCCCCGTTACTCCTTCTCCCGGCAGCCATCTCCCCGTTACTCCTTCACCCGGCAGCCATCTCCCTGTTACTCCTTCTCCCGGCAGCCATCTCCCCGTTACTCCTTCACCCGGCAGCCATCTCCCCGTTACTCCTTCACCCGGCAGCCATCTCCCTGTTACTCCTTCACCCGGCAGCCATCTCCCTGGTACTCCTTCACCCTCTCACTATAACAGGATGGCACTGCTACAGCCAGGGCTGAGTAGGTAGAACTCTCCTCTAATCGCCGATACTGGGTCAGATATATTTGTTTATAATAATAATAATAATAATAATAATATGCCATTTAGCAGACGCTTTTGTCCAAAGCGACTTATAGTCATGCGTGCATATATTTTTTACGTATGGGTGGTCCCGGGGATCGAACCCACTACCCTGCTAATAGTTAGGATTGGGGAGGGGCAATCTGATCCTAGATCTGTGGTTAGGGGCAATGTCTGTTTGGCTGCTCTCACTAGTCAATGGGTATTTTGGAGATTTACTGCTCCATCCATTCATTTCCTTCAGCCCCAGGCTGTGGCTACACAATGTGTGTTTGTTGACAAGTGCCTGGGTAATGGGATGGTGACACAGCTGGCTCCGCCCATTCAGTGGTGGGTGTCTCCTCCTCACTTCCTGCTGAAAGCCACAGAGGGATATATTTACCCCAGAAAGACTAAATGTGTGTCTGTGTGTGTTAAGGGGGGCAGGAGAGACACAGGAGGGTATAAACAGAGGGGCTTATTATTCTCTGTGGAGTTTGGCTGAGAGTATAGGGAAATGACTAACAGAAAGGCCTCAAATCCCCCAGTCTCTTAATGAAGTCTAAATGGGAAGGATGGACCCCAATAGATCATGTTTTATTGACTAATCATCACAATAATGAAGTGTTGGTCAAGAGAGAACGACTATAGCATACAACAGTGGTCCTAGGCAAAGCTCTATCGTGTGTTTTCTCTCTCTCTCTGTGTGTGTGTGTGTAGGGTGACTGTCGGTCCTATAGCTGTGTGTGGGGGGTCAGCAGTAAAGAGGCTCCTAACCTGTTCTCTGTCTCTGTGTGTGTAGGGTGACTGTCGGTCCTATAGCTATGTGTGTGGGGTCACCAGTAAAGAGGCTCCTAACCTGTTCTGTCTCTGTGTGTGTAGGGTGACTGTCGGTCCTATAGCTATGTGTGTGGGGTCACCAGTAAAGAGGCTCCTAACCTGTTCTCTGTCTCTGTGTGTGTAGGGTGACTGTCGGTCCTATAGCTATGTGTGTGGGGTCACCAGTAAAGAGGCTCCTAACCTGTTCTCTGTCTCTTTCTGTTTCTGTGTGTGTAGGGTGACTGTCGGTCCTATAGCTATGTGTGTGGGGTCACCAGTAAAGAGGCTCCACACTGGGAATCACTGATGTTCCTGGCCAGACTCATCCCTCGCATGTGCCACACCATCAACAGGTAACACAGTACATGTTAGTAGATGAAGTAAAACCTTTACTGCTAGCAGGATGCCATATGGACTGTCTGTGTCTTTGCTCTCTCCTGCCTCCCTCCAGAGTTGTGTATGTATTTGGGTCCCACGTGAAGGAGCCTCCCACAGACATCACCCCCACCTTCCTTACCACAGGCGTTCTCAGCACACTCAGACAGGCAGACTTCGTGGCTCACTCCATCCTCAGAGAGTCTGGTAAGTGGTTTCCTGCTTCAGGAGGGGAGCAGAATGGCTGGATTCAGTGTGGAGCGGGGAATAGAGTATAGAACTACAATGTATAGAACTCTAGGGATGTGGAGCGGGGAATAGAGTATAGAACTACAATGTATAGAACTACAATGTATAGAACTCTAGGGATGTGGAGCGGGGAATAAAGTATAGAACTACAATGTATAGAACTCTAGGGAGGTGCACGCTTATTAGAATAGCCAAACGGACGTTAGTATTCAAATACTTGTGAGAGTATTCATTTTTGCGAGAGAGAACAATTATAGGCCTATTTTAACACTGAAAAGGCTTTTTCTGAATTAAATTAAAATATCCATGTGACTTTGTTACATACAAGGATATACCATGACATTTCAAATTATTAATGTATTGAAACAACACACTTCAAGGTAAGTTGTTGATGTGCACGGTGCGCCCCATAAAAAGACTGGTAGCTTGTTTGTTGGCCAATCAAAGCAGCAAAGAGGCTCAATGTGGAGCAAATAGAGTGAGAGTTCACTAATGCAATGCAAGATGGAATAAAATTACGGAATTAAAAGTTAGCGGAAGGAGAAGGCTACAGTGAGCAACCAACAGGTAGGCTGTTGTTTTATCTTAATGGGGTTGGGGAGAAAACACAGCATGTAGCCTCAATTACCCTAGCTAGCTTCTCTAGGTTACTCCAGTCAAGACGGGCACTGTTATATGGGATGATGAATACGGTTGTGGCTGCTACAAGTTAGCTAGTGCTGCGTTGGCGTCTCTCTCTCTCTCTCTCACCCTCCGTCTGCTCACTCCAATCTCTCACACACCACCTCCGCAGCTGCAGCAATAGAGTGCCAGCCTCTCTCCCTCGCGCAGCAGTGCTCAGGTTAAAACATTACGTTTAACAAAAACACATGTGTATCCGTCAAAAAAAAATCATGATGCTATTCGAATAGTGAAATTATTTCAAACCCCCCAGCCCGGTAGAACACACTTCCCTTATGAACTGCTCATTGCTAACCCTGTCTGGTGTGGTAACCCTCTTTCTCCCAGGTTACTCTGGTAAGATCAGTCAGATGCCGGTCATCCTGACCCCTCTGCACTTTGACCGCGATTCCTCACAGAGGCAGCCGTCCTGCAGGCGCTCTGTGGTCGTCAGAACCTTTATCACCAGTGACTTCATGACCGGGATACCTGCCACGCCCGGAAACCACATCCCTGAAGAGGTACTACCGCTAGCCATGAGATGGGGATTAGTCAGGCAGACATTGTTTTATTGCACCCAGTATAGATGTATAAATCACGTTTTCCAACCCTTTTCACTTTTTCTCTCCATCTCTCACGTCTCCTCAGGTAGTGCTGAAGATGGTGAATGAGATCAAGAAGATCCCTGGCATCTCCAGGGTGATGTTTGACCTGACCTCCAAACCTCCCGGCACCACAGAGTGGGAGTAGAGCTTGTGGGGAGAGCGAGAGAAGGAAGGAGTGGTGAGCTCCTCTCTTCCTCCTCTTCTCCTCCTCCTTTCATTCCTTCTCCTAACACCTCCACACTCCACTGGCCTGCAACCCCCCCCCCCCCCCCCCCCCCCCCCATCTCACCCCCCCTTTCCGATCACCCCCCTCTAGAACATTCCCATGGGAAGCAGGCAGTACTGTGACCAGCGCACACCTGAAGCCGCTACTCTGCCCCCCCCCCCCCTCTCAATTTTTGGGAGGGGTGTTTGTATTATAGTTATTATCGATATGACTATTCAACCTTCATTTTGGATCAGTTTCTTCATGCGTGACAATGCATTATTTTTCCGTCTTTGGTGTAAGTGCTGCTTCCTGTTTGGAAACGGCCAGTTGAGATCAAGGGTTAAGAGTCCGAGAGTTCAGGAAGTGGATTGTGTACACGGCGTGCCTCAGATGGCAGCGTGAGACCAACAACAGAAGAAAACAAAAGAACATACTTGTATGACATAAAGGAGAATGCACAGCAGCCAGTGGCTTAAAGTTATCCATCGCGTTTTGGCTTTTTTTTTGTTCCACTTACGACGGTTATTTTTGTCCCAAGATTATTTTTACTCATCCATTTCCGATCCAACTGTATACTGTGCAAAGAGACAGACAGGGGCTGCCTGTCCAACGTCATTAAATGTTTTGCCAAATGTAGATAAGATGTGGTGAAATTTGATCTGGGTTCTTGGCTCTTGTTGACGATCCACTTTAATTAAAAATTGTGATGTTAAGCTACCAACAGCGGTCAACGGAAAATATTAGTTTATTTTCAGAGATGTGTAACTGTGGGAAGCCCCCAAAATGACGGTGTGTCCTTTTCTGTGCCTGTTTTTCTTTACATTTCTGCTCCTTCTTTATTTGACCTGACTGTTTTTTTTTTTTCATGCTGCAAATATATGCTTTTTAAGAGAAACAAGAGGACTGAGAATGAATTAAGATGTTAGTAATAGTCAAAACAACCATTGATGTGTGAACGTCATCTTCATCATCACCATACTGGCACGTGGCACCTCCTACAGTGGTGTCATCTTCATCATCACCATACTGGCACGTGGCACCTCCTACAGTGGTGTAGGAGCAACTTCTGCACGTAAAGCCTTGGTGCTTTCCTGACGCGTAGGGAAGGGATAGTACTCCCAGCTGATGGATCTTTAAAACACAATCACGAAAGCATCCCTCCTTTTTTTTTTTATAGGGTCAAATTGAAGACTGGCAGTGGCCATCTTGGAACATTTAATCTACTAGAGGACTCCCGAGTAGGCATTCTCAGTGACCTGGCTGTCAGCTCAATGTTTTCAACACTCATTTACTGAGAGAGTCCTCCGTTAGTACAGGACTCTTGTGTTTTACTGGGCCTGAAGCAAGTCTTTTTAAGGACCCCTGTCTGCCCCATGTGCAGCCTGTAGGTCATGTTTTACTGTGCGATAGTACTGATTTACATGCCTCTGTGTTTGACTTTGTACCCCTCACCTTCAATATTATTTAGTTACGACGGTCAAAATACCCCAATGCAAAATGAATCTGTTCCTTAACTGTCTTAATTGCAACTTGTTCTTAATGTCTCTCCCTTTGTGTTGCCTTTTACTTGTGTATTTTATGATACATATGTCTACTTGGAAAAACAAAAACAGCTTAAAATTAATGGAAGTTTAATTTTGTAGTTGGATTTTACTGCAATATTGAAATAATATTAATTTATGCAATTCTGTGTTTGATATAATTTTTTAGTTTGTTTTGTTTAAAATGGATCAATGCTCATTTTTCCTTAGTAACGTGCCTCAAACCAAGCCACTGCATGCAGTTTCAACTATGAAATTTGTATAATGAAAAACCAAGCTTTAATAAAGAAGTCCATATTGAATCTTCTCAAACTCTTTACCAACTAATCAAAATGTGTATGTTTACACTATATGACCAAACGTATGTGGACACCTGCTCGTCGAACATCTCATTCCAAAATCATTGGCATTAATATGGAGTTGGCCCCCCCTTTGCTGCTATAACACTAGATGTTGGATCATTGCTGCGGGGACTTACTTCCATTCAGCCACGAGCATTAGTGAGGTCGGTCACTGATGTTGGGCGATTAGGCCTGGCTCGCAGTCAGCATTCCAATTCATTCCAAAGGTGTTCGATTGGGTTGAGGTCAGGGCTCTGTGCAGGCCAGTCAAGTTCTTCCACACCGATCACGACAAACCATTAGTGTATGCAAGTCGCTTTGTGCACGGAGGCATTGTCATGCTGAAACAGGAAAGGGCCTTCCCCAAGCCGTTGACACAACGTTGGAAGCACAGAATCGTCTAGAATGTCATTGTATGCTGTAGCATTAAGATTTCCCTTCACTGGAACAAAGGGGCCTAGCCCGAACCATGAAAAACAGCCCCAGACCATTATTCCTCCTCCACCAAACTTTACAGTTGGCACTATGCATTCTGGCAGGTAGCGTTCTCCTGGCATCCGCCAAACCCAGATCCGTCCGTCGGACTACCAGATGGTGAAGCGTGATTCATCACTCCAGAGAACGCGTTTCCACTGCTCCAGAGTCCAATGGCGGCAAGCTTTACACCACTCCAGCAGACGCTTGGCATTGCACATGTTGATCTTAGGCTTGTGTGCGGCTGCTCGGCCATGGAAACCCATTTCATGAAGCTCCCAACTAACAGTTATTGTGCTGACGTTGCTTCCAGAGGCAGTTTGGAACTCTGTAGTGAGTGTTACAACCGAGGACAGACTATGTTTACATGCTACACGCTTCAGCACTCGGCGGTCCCGTTCTGTGAGCTTGTGTGGCCTACCACTTCGCAGCTGAGCCATTTGTAACTCCTAGCGGTTTCCACATCACAATAACAGCACTTACAGTTGACCGGGGCAGCTCTAGCAGGGCAGAAATATGAGGAACTGACTTGTTGGAAAGGTGCCACGTTGAGTCACTGAGCTCTTCAGTAAGGCCATTCTACTGCCAATGTTTGTCTATGGAGATTGCATGGCGGTGTGCTAGATTTTATACCTGTCAGCAACGGGTGTGGCTGAAATAGCCGAATCCTCTAATTTGAAGGGGTGTCCACATACTGTTGTGTGTGTGTGTGTGTATATAGTGCATTTTCACAACCAACAGATGTTTTTAATGTTTGTATTTCGCAATACTTTTTTAAAATTCTGCTGTAGCAGAATACCATATCCCCTGGAACGCGCACCTCTTATTGGGTTTGATGTCTCGCATCGAACATCATCACCAGTAGTGGTGCATGGGTAAAATCACTGGGGAAGCCAGTGACAAACCTATGTGTTGTGATAATTGCATTGTTTACTCTATAACCTGTTAGTTCGTATGCCTTGCCACAATAATAAATAGGCCTAAAGGCCCGAGACAATAAGAAGACACAGTGGCAGAATAAATTCAACCACACCTTTGTTTTATCACAAAACCGGAGAGCAACCTTTGACCAGTGAAGTCCACAAAGCCTATTGCATGTACAGTAACAGACAGTTACATGACCTACAGCATGGTCAAGCAAGTTCATGTTTTCGACATTTTCGGACCAATAAACAACTATTGATTTAGAACCACAGAGAGTTACCGCAAGTCGCAAAGAAAACAGGTGCTGCCTCCACTATTCCAGCACCATTTCAAATTCAACATTTCAACATCATGAAATCACCTCTGCTTAGTCTAAAACAGCGACAACTAAAAGATAACAAAAACTAATTTAGTCCAATCAACGTAAGCTAAATATGATGTGGCTGTCCATGGTTCTGATTTGTGTGTGCGTTCGTGCAAGTAGAAAAACATGTTGACTCACCCTACTTGTAGAGAAACGCCAATGCCATCCTCCTCTCTTTCATGTTGACGAAATGGTCTATCACTCTGTAATATAGTACACACTTTTATTTTTTGTTATCCTAGGCTACCTGGCTACAATGCTTGCTCACTAGCATAACTTCCATTCATGGGCAATGTTAGCTAGTTAACATTAGCCTTCTACATCTAGCTACATATTGAACTTTCATCCTCTCAGGCCAGGGGCACAACAAGGTATGAATTAATTGTTGGATCAGAATAGTCGTTATAATCATTGGCCAGTACGGAGAATTAAGTAAAACCACAAGTCCAAATCCCTATCTCCATCCATGGCTAATTTAGGAAAGGGCCAATTTTAGCTAGCTGGCTGGCTAGCCAGCCACTGGAGGACAACACAACGAGATGCAACAATTCAAGTTTTTCTGTCAATGATGTATGCTCTCAATGGGATTTGATAAGAGTGATGCCAAATCCAAGCTGGCTTCCCTTCACACTTTCTTTTGGTGCGCCAGGACCATTCACAGTTGTGTCAACCAGCATTGAGCTAAACTGAGTGAGCTCATTTTTTTTGTACTTTTTTCTTTGTCAAGGGAGGCCAAATGCTCGCTGGCTTCCCTTGCCTTCAATGCTACGGGCGGCAACAATGCCATACTCGTTCGGACCAGACATCATCAGATAGATGGCCTACACGTAGAGAGACAGAGGGGCGCTGTTTCTTTCGCTCAGATGCTTTCTGCTGTGAGATACATTCAGCCTCTTGCGAATTGAAGGGAAATTATGAAACTGAGAGATGAAAGAAACATTTATTTTATGTTTAAAAAATGTTCTTGGTCATTTTTTTAGGGGAAGCCTGGTTTCCCTTTGCATCCATATATACACACACCCCTGCTCGTCCTTGTAGCCTACTCACGAGGAGGTTAGGGAAGTAGATATGATAGTCTAGACTTACAGAGAGGCCTCCAGGAGATGAAGATACATTTTCAGGACAGAAAAACATGCCCTGCTTATGTCAGCCTACTTCATGAAATATGTATTGTAATGGTGTGCGTTTCATTACAATAAATTGTATATTTGGGTTAAATAACTTTCAGTAGTTAAGTGTCAACTCGAGAAGCCCCCTGTTTGTGCAAACCGAGCACCGCCAGCGATCCTATCCCATGGGTGTCTCCACGGCAGGGGTTCAGGTGTTCCTTTCCTCTCTCCCGGATGACTGAAGGACAAGTGTCGACAAGCTCAGACTCACAACAGCGAGAGACCCAGAGGACGCTTCGGAAATAAACGATACAGCATCCCAGGTTATTATTGAGCATTAAGGCCAATGTCTGGTGAGCGCTCATCCGCATCATCTCTGCAAGTTGCCACATGCTACAGCCAATTAAATCGGAGCCTGTGGCACTTTTATGTTTGTTAACATGAATATAGACCAACATTCACATGTAATTTACTATACGTACAGTGCATTCGGAAAGTATTCAGACCACTTGACTTTTTCCACAAAAAAAATAACATTAGTCTTATTTTAAAATGGATTAAATATTTTTGTTTTACCACAATCTACACACAAGACCCCATAATGACAAAGCAAAAACAGGTTTTTATAAATTTGAGCAAATATGACATTTACAGTGGGGAAAAAAAGTATTTAGTCAGCCACCAATTGTGCAAGTTCTCCCACTTAAAAAGATGAGAGAGGCCTGTAATTTTCATCATAGGTACACATCAACTATGACAGACAGATTTTTTTTCTCCAGAAAATCACATTGTAGGATTTTTAATGAATTTATTTGCAAATTATGGTGGAAATTAAGTATTTGGTCACCTACAAACAAGCAAGATTTCTGGCTCTCGCAGACCTGTAACTTCTTCTTTAAGAGGCTCCTCTGTCCTCCACTCGTTACCTGTATTAATGGCACCTGTTTGAACTTGTGATCAGTATAAAAGACACCTGTCCACAACCTCAAACAGTCACACTCCAAACTCCACTATGGCCAAGACCAAAGAGCTGTCAAAGGACACCAGAAACAAAATTGTAGACCTGCACCAGGCTGGGAAGACTGAATCTGCAATAGGTAAGCAGCTTGGTTTGAAGAAATCAACTGTGGGAGCAATTATTAGGAAATGGAAGACATACAAGACCACTGATAATCTCCCTCGATCTGGGGCTCCACGCAAGATCTCACCCCGTGGGGTCAAAATGATCACAAGAACGTTGAGCAAAAATCCCAGAACCACACGGGGGGACCTAGTGAATGACCTGCAGAGAGCTGGGACCAAAGTAACAAAGCCTACCATCAGTAACACACTACGCCGCCAGGGACTCAAATCCTGCAGTGCCAGACGTGTCCCCCTGCTTAAGCCAGTACATGTCCAGGCCCGTCTGAAGTTTGCTAGAGTGCATTTTGATGATCCAGAAGAGGATTGGGAGAATGTCATATGGTCAGATGAAACCAAAATAGAACTTTTTGGTCAAAACTCAACTCGTCGTGTTTGGAGGACAAAGAATGCTGAGTTGCATCCAAAGAACACCATACCTACTGTGAAGCATGGGGGTGGAAACATCATGCTTTGGGGCTGTTTTTCTGCAAAGGGACCAGGACAACTGATCCGTGTAA